ACTTTAATTGGGAGTTTACGGCATGCTTCTTGGAATTCAGTGCGTAGATCAACTATCTAACTAGCAACTACCAACAAAGAGTTATTCTTGTCAAGTGTTCGGCTGACCTCGAGTATGGAGTATTGTATCTGTATGGTGTCGTAGTAATTCAAGATGGTCGGTTGGGTCGTACCGTCGGCCATTTTCTTTTAGCGCCAATCGCAGGCACATGTCATTGCAGTTTGGCCTGCGTTAGTCTCACGTCCGTGTTATCAAGGACCCCTGGTTACACAAAAGTATAATTCCTTCTTTGTTCCGACTCTCCGCCTTGTCCTTCCATGGATGCCCGAGACCGGTGAAATAGTTGAAGAAGCGTTCTTATGGCGGTGAAGGAAGGATCTCGCTCATCACTTGTAGCCCATCCCTGTATTTCATCATGATTTGGCGAGAAGTCGCCATAGATACATGTCTCTGATACGCGAGATTCCGGATCTCTCAGAGACAACGAGAATTCCGGTGTACATCGTTATTCTGCAAAGCCGTTTGTAGTATTCCTCTAGCAAATACGAGCTGCAGAGTTCTCCGACTTTTCAGATAGCACGCCTGGCTGACTCGGTCAACAAGTCTTGACCGGTCTAGTTCGAGGAGTGCCATTTTTGAGACGCCCGACCATCCGCACTAACAAGTAAGTAACTTCGAAAACTACCGGCAGAAACACCCTTTGATAGTCTTCACCGACCCACATGTGTAACGGTCGTCGTCCGGCTCGAATGGTGTCATTTGAGCACGTTATTCAAGGCTTGATTGCCTAAGAGGTTGTAAAGACGTATCGAATGCTATAAATTGCCAATGACTCGCTGTCGCCGCCGCGGCGCCCTGACTCGTAGTTCCATATATTCCCTTCCCATCTTCTGCCATTGTGTGTCGAGATCCAAACCACTTCGCTCTGTCTTGACTGCGCACATAGTATTCAACTACACAGCGAACTCAAATAACCCACAATGGCGACTGCGGATGTGCAAAAAGCTCCTGCATCCTCACTCGACGTATTCTCCAAAACAGCTGCCGAAGTCGAAGTGAGAGAAATCAGCCCGGAACTCGCAGCCAACCACCGATATCTTATCCAGTCACCATACACGGAACATGAGCATTTGCTTGACCTCGACACTCTTGACAACGAAAATGAGCTCCTCGCACGAGCCCTGACTCACTTCCGAGTTCTTCGCGACGACTATGCGACAGCCCCATATACAGAATCCTTCAACTGGCCAGAGGTGATCGAAGAAGTAAAGCGTCTTGCGGTTGAATCTGGAAAGCCATTCAAAGAAACGTCTTTCTATATCGTGGCATTCCGATCACGAATCAAGAAGGAGACCGAATATGCTGACCTCGGCGTTCTTGACAAGGGGGCACATGCTGAGGCTGTTGCGAGTGGTGGATTCCTGAAGTAAGTTGGAAGTGCATCTTCCGCATAGGTCCATTGAATTGACACTTGACACGAACAGATACTGGTTTGGAGAACCCGATTCAGAATTGGCCAACTTGGCGACTTGTGTCTGGCGTTCACGGGAAGATGCTAAGAAGGGTGGTACAGGCCCAGCTCATCGCAAGGCCGCTGGAGCAACTCGCTCCTTGTACGCATTCTGGAAGATTGATCAACATCGACTTATCATCCGCGACAATGCCGAGAGCTGGGAGATTACCCCCTGGCAGGATTAGACGACAAGGTTTGAGACTTCTGAAACCTTTTGTTCGGGGGGCTTATGAGGCGTTGGGTGTCGGTTTTTAGGATTTAGAGAAACACGGAAACAGAAAAGAATGGCGTTTGCTCGGGGGGAAAGGATGATTTGCTCTGAAAACGAGTTAGACGGTAGAATGATAAACGAGATAAAACAATAATTAGATTTTAGATTGCTCGAGATATTCTAGCTGATGGCATTGAAGGCTTGTAGAACGTTGAGAACGAGGGCAATTTGCCGCAGCTCAGAACGGACCGCGAAAAGACGCATATGAGAGACAAAGTACACATCCATTCCGTATCATGATAGCGAGCGTAATTTCGGCAAGTTAGAGTAAATAAGGCATCTTTTGTGGCCGCCGTATGCTTGACCTGGTGGTGATAAACGAAGATCGTAGGTCGGCTCGTAACGTCAATCGCGGGATATATAATCTGCCGCAACTCACCGCCTAGACATCCCACAGCCCACAAATGAGTACACGAACGAAAAGTTTCGATATTCCCACCTTCAGAGCCCCGAAGCCTTGCAACACCACCCGCCTCTTTCGCGATCGTAGCGCCGAACCTCTCTCCTTCTCTCGCGGCACCGTGAATATCTCCCCCCGAATTTTTGTCAATATGGCGGACGCTCCCAACGATGCGCCTGTTGCTGCGCCTTTCCAGGCCGTTCAAGTCGAGGCTCTGGTGAGTTGAATATGCCCCACCTTTTGGTCTTTGAGACCCCCTCTTGAAGAACGAGTAAAGAAAGGGGAATGGGACTGACCTCAGTCGGTGGTGTAGGTTATCATGAAGATTGCCAAGCACTGCTCTTCGGCTTTCCCTTCTGTCGCGACTGGAGCTATTGTTGGTATGGAAAACGAGGGTCTCCTCGAGGTCACCAACACGTTCCCTTTCCCTACTGTCGACCCCGCTACGACCGACAGCCACCAGAACGATGCTTCGCAGATCGCCGCTGCTGCTCCCCGACAGAAGAACAACATTCACTACCAAAATGAGATGATCCGACACCTCAAGGAGGTCAACGTCGACGCCAACAACGTTGGTTGGTACACAAGTGCCACCATGGGCAACTTTGTCAACTTGAACTTCATCGAGAACCAGTTCCACTACCAAAGCGCCAACGAGAATACTGTCGCCCTCGTCCACGATGCTAGCAAGAGCTCTCAGGGCAACCTGACCTTCCGGGCTTTCCGCCTGTCCCCTGCTTTCATGAGCGCCTACAAGGAGGGCAAGTTCACAACCGAGAGGTACGATGATGCTATTGCCACGACCGGAGACAGATACTAACCAGTAACAGCTTGCAAAAGTCTAAGCTCACCTTCAAGGATATCCTCACCGAGGTCCCTGTCAACGTCCACAACTCTCACCTCCTCACAACCTTCCTCCACCAGATCCCTTCCGCTCCCGTGAAGGGCGATATTGAGCAGCCCTCATCGTTGGATGACCTCAACCGCAACGCTCTCGAGCCTCCTCTGTACCCCTCTATCGACAACCTCGACCTTGCGATCGACCCCTTCCTCGAGAAGACTTGCGATCTTCTGCTCGAGAGCATCGAGTCTCACTATACCGACCTCAACAATTTCCAATTCTACCAGCGACAACTCGGTCGTGAGCAGACCAAGATCACACAATGGCAGACCAAGCGCAAGGCTGAGAACGCCCAACGTGCTGCTGCCAAGCAGGCTCCTCTCCCCGAGGATGAGTGGCAGCGACTGTTCAAGCTTCCCCAGGAGCCCAGCAGACTGGAGGGTATGCTGAACGCGAAGCAGGTGGAGCAATACAGCAAGCAGGTGGATGGATTCACAGCCAACGTCAGTGCCAAGATGTTTGCCGTGCGGGAGAACTTGATGCCAAAATAGATGGAGGACGGGCGAGACGGGGATTTCAAAAAGTCTCGAGGGATTTCAGGAATACGAGACGCTCAGTGATGGTTTGCATTGGCGGCGTTCCGGACAATGTCGAATAATGTCGAGTGCTGGTCTAGATTTTAAAGCGTTGAGAGAAAGAGAGGAGCACTTGATGAGCACATGATGGGCCAGCCTGACGTTGATGTGTTGATGTTGAAGAGTCACGAAGAGATGGACACGACTGTAGCATTGCCTTGGTCATAAAATGCTGGCTTCGTAGATAGCGCCTGCAAGCAAGTTCTCTTAGTCTGAGAGCATTGAAACAATTTTACGTTTACAAGTTCATTGGTACTGTCGCTTTGTTATTTTATCTTTCAGTGAACTCGGCAAATAAACTCGGGATTTGAGGCGGTTCATGGTTGATCCAAGACCAGGGGTTCAATATATAAATATCTCATCTCACTTATAACTACACGCCGAAAAGGTACATAAAACAAATTGATGAGCCTGGTATCATCCTGAGGCTTGTAACGAGACCAAAAGGGTGCCTCCGAGCTGGCTCTCCCTCAGAATATTCGGATATACAGATTAGTCGGTCTGTTCGTAGCTTGGAGACGATCAATGACCCGTAGTGTTCGCGTGAAGCGGTGCTCGGCTTCCGAGCGGGGAATATCAAGGGTCGAGTCAAAAAAGTCAGCCAAAGCTGCATCTGTATGTACGAAGCAAGTTACAAATTATATGCACAGTCGGAGTAATCAATTGATGAGCAGATAGTCACTACAGACAGTAGAAAAGAGTCTAGCAATTTGCCCACTCACTGAATGAGAAAAATCAACGTGGTCTCCTTCTCACTAGTCCCGTATTCGTACCAAGACCTGGAGGAGCTTCCCATCATGAGAAAGCTCCTCTTTACCTCGTTATTTTTTCCTCTGGTGGGTTCTCCGAGTCCCTGAGATCCACTCTCAACTCGGAGGTACCTTTTGGCGCTTCAAATGGAACCACCAGGTTCTTCGAGGGTACCAGGTTCAGCACCCAGCCAACCACCCGCTTACAAGTACCTAGCCTGAAGATCGACTGGACTCGGAGTGCATTTCTGCTCTGCCCCGCCTCAAAATTGCTGGGCCTCAATGGCAGAAGAAAATTCTGCCCCTCATTTTGCCGTCCATTGACTTCACCGCCCGCGAAAAAAACCCCACTGACACTGCTGGGCCCTGGTCAACCCCTCCCCCTCCAGGCCCCTCCAGAGGCTCTCAGCCCATAGAAGCAGTTCTCTCTGCCCCGCCCAATGTTATCTCGTTGTTGATTCTACAACCTACATATTCTTCCTCTTCCCGTTCAACTTTTTCAGTCTCTTCTTCTTCTTCTTCTTCTTCTTCTTCTTCTCTCTTCTCCTCTCATCCATCCTTTCATCCCTTCCTCCTCCACATCCATTCATCATGTCTGCTCCCGCCCACAAGTTCAAGGTCGCTGACCTTTCTCTGGCCGCCTTTGGCCGCAAGGAGATTGAGCTCGCTGAGAATGAGATGCCCGGTCTCATGCAGACCCGAGCCAAGTATGCTGCCGACCAGCCTCTCGCCGGTGCCCGCATTGCTGGCTGCCTTCACATGACCATCCAGACCGCCGTCCTCATCGAGACCCTCACTTCTCTCGGTGCTGAGGTTACCTGGACCAGCTGCAACATCTTCAGCACCCAGGACCACGCTGCTGCTGCCATTGCCGCCGCTGGTGTCCCCGTCTTCGCCTGGAAGGGTGAGACCGAGGAGGAGTACAACTGGTGCCTCGAGCAGCAGCTCACTGCCTTCAAGGACAACAAGAAGCTCAACCTCATCCTCGACGACGGTGGTGACCTTACCACCCTTGTCCACCAGAAGTACCCTGAGATGCTCAAGGACTGCTTCGGTGTCTCTGAGGAGACCACCACCGGTGTCCACCACCTTTACCGCATGCTCAAGGATGGCAAGCTCCTTGTCCCCGCCATCAACGTCAACGACTCCGTCACCAAGTCCAAGTTCGACAACCTTTACGGCTGCCGTGAGTCCCTTGTCGACGGTATCAAGCGTGCTACCGATGTCATGATTGCTGGCAAGGTCGCCGTCGTTGCCGGTTTCGGTGATGTCGGTAAGGGTTGCGCCATGGCCCTCCACGGCATGGGTGCCCGCGTCCTCGTCACTGAGATTGACCCCATCAACGCTCTCCAGGCTGCTATGGCCGGTTACCAAGTCACCACCATGGAGAAGGCTGCCAAGGTTGGCCAAATCTTCGTCACCACCACCGGATGCCGTGATATCCTCACTGGTGAGCACTTCGAGGCTATGCCCAACGACGCCATCGTCTGCAGTAAGTTATATCACTCTTTCACCCCATGATTCATCACTGACATTGGTAAACAGACATTGGTCATTTCGATATCGAGATTGACGTTGCTTGGCTCAAGGCCAACGCCAGCTCTGTCCAGAACATCAAGCCCCAGGTTGACCGTTTCCTCATGCCCAACGGCCGTCACATCATCCTCCTTGCTGAGGGTCGTCTTGTCAACCTTGGCTGTGCTACTGGCCACTCTTCTTTCGTTATGTCTTGCTCTTTCACCAACCAGGTCCTTGCCCAGATCATGCTGTACAAGGCCGCCGACAAGGCGTGGGGTGAGAAGTACGTCGAGTTCGCCAAGACCGACAAGCTCGACGTTGGTGTCTACGTCCTCCCTAAGATTCTCGATGAGGAGGTCGCCCGTCTCCACCTTGACCACTGCCAGGCTGAGCTCAGCACCCTCAGCAAGGTCCAGGCTGAGTACCTCGGCCTCACCGTCGAGGGTCCCTTCAAGGCCGATATCTACCGCTACTAAGCGTGTGTAATCAATACCCAGGATCCTTCAACTGGATTCCTACGTGTAACGAACTTTTCCCTCTTCTGTCGACATGACAATCGGCAAAATTCTAGTTTCAACAGCATGAACTTGCATGGCATATGGGTTGGGAGAGTTACAAGGACATCTGCGGTTTTCTGATTTTTTTTCTCTCTTCTCTTCTTTGTTTCTGCTTATTTGGGTTACTTCTCTAAATCATCAAAGAGAAGACTCCTCGCAGGGTGCAGGGAGGGGCAAAAAAATCTTGCTTTTTCAACAAAATGGCGTTGGCTTTTTTGCTAATCATGATTCCCCCCTTCGAGATTATAAAAATGGATGATGAATGGAATGATATGGACGGATATGACCAAGACGAGACCTCCCCCATAGGGATGGATGAGATGGTAACTCGATACAGGTAGGCCCGTCAACCGTGGCCAGGATAGAGTAGAACTTCAAAAAGAGATATTCTGACTCTAAAATTATTGCTTCTCATGTGATTCTATCGTTATTGTATCCTTTGACTGTTGGGTCACTTCCACGGAGCATAGGGGTGAAGCCAACTTGTATTGTTTGTGCTCGGGGTTTGTTGTTTTACAACGCTTATTTCAACCGTTGAGTTGTTTCAATGTAAGGTAGCCAGCTAAAGTCAAATGAGCAGATTTAAGGTTATTTGCAGTCTATCATCCGATCTAAGGTAGTATAAGTAGAGATGAAAGACTTTCATCCCAAGTACCCAAAGTCTTAGATTAGCTTGGTATGCGTGTGCAACATAATAGAAATTCATTTGGGCTATCTATTTTTTGTTTACCCATTCTATACGTTCCGAGACTCTCTACACCGCTAAGGCGTTGATGTACAGACAAAGTTACCGTCTATTGTAGATCCTTCTGCTCAGAAACGATACTCTTCAACTTTCCTTCTGTCACTGCTAGACGAACATTGTCCATAGCCCAAGCCTCCATCAGTCTCTCGGTCTCTACAGTCCACGTTCCCATGTGTGGAACAAGCAAGACGTTCCTGTTCTTCAAGAGCCCTGGGTGAACCTCCGGTTCGTTCTCAAAGACATCAAGGCCAGCACTGGCAACTTGTCCTGATTCAAGAGCCTCGACGAGAGCAGCTTCGTCCATCACTGCACCACGAGCGGTGTTGACGATTACAATGCCATGCTTCATAATGTCGAATTGAGGTTTTGCGATAGTATGTCGAGTTTTGGGCTGTGAAGCGTCAGTTCAGAATCCCGAATATAATCTTTAATCATGACTAGACTCACGTTCAGGGGTAAGTTGAGACTCAACACATCACTGTCTTTGAGAAGTGTCTCGAAGTCAACATATTCAGCACCGTCCTCCAGATCGGGCGATAAACGGCTGCGGTTGTGATATCTCACAGTCATGCCAAAAGCGCGGGCTTTGCGTGCAACATTGCGACCAATGCCTCCCATGCCCAGAATGCCTAGCACTTTACCCTGAGGATCATGACCAAGCGATGGTGGAGGGGAACCCCGCCAAGTTCCCTCTCGTAGAGTGAAGATGGAGGATGAGATATTTCTCAAGGCGCCGATAAGAAGAAAGATAGTGATATCAGCCGTGGCATCGTCTACAGCTGTGGGTGTGTTCGAAACACGAATACCACGAGAAGTGCATTCAGAGACATGAATTTGGTCATATCCGGCACCTGGAGTATATTAGTAAGTAAACATGGTCACGGTGCACTCGAATCACTCACCATTATGGCAGATGAACTTGAGAGACTTGGGCAATACATCCAGCAACTCAGCATCAAAGAGTCCAGTAATGCCAACAGACTTGTTCGTACGGTAGATCGCCTTGACTCCATTGAAAGCACCAGACTTGGTCTCTTCTATAAAAGCAGATCGCTCATTTGACTTTGGGTAGACAGGTTCTACAATCTCGCAGAGCGAGGCAAACTCTTCATGAGCTCTAGAGCAGCATGTCAACTATAACATCGTAGAGGAAGAACGTAGAACATTCAATGTTCCTTGAGGTACGAACAGAACTTACTGCTTGGTACTGCCTAGGAAGAGGACCTTGGGTTTATCTGCCATATTTAACAATTTTGAAGAATATCGAAAATTGGGGAGAGGTTGGGTCTTTGGAGATCCTTAAAATGGGTTTATATCTAATACAATATCGAGTCACACCTCTCTTGTCCGGTCGGACTATCAAAGGACCTTCGGCTTTCAGGCCGACAGATAATACATCCCCATGACCCCATCCAAGGACATACAATGTCCGTCTATGGCGGGGTGACGTGGGGGCGGGGGCGGGGTGTGTTCTGTTGAGTCCTTGAGTTGTTGTTAAAAGGCGCCATTGAAAGCTCTTTGCCAATAAACCATAACGAGGACAACACTATAGAGTACTACAGCATGAGGAGTTGTTAGAGGAAATGTAAATTGAACCGATTTGCATCAGCTCAAGTTAATATAAGCGGTATGTTACGCACAAATTTGAATTGACACTAGAAAATCTATAGGTTAAGGTGAACCATGAACACTGTTTATACAACTCCAACCCGCCTGACTCCAACCAACACTCACCCAATGCACCCAGACTTTACATGAGCAATCTCCAAGCACCAAGTAATAGCGCTGCAAAACCGGTGCACACACCCATAAGCCACTGAAGTGTCTGGAACTTGACCTGCTCGAGCTTCTCCCTCAATGCAGCAACCTCCTGCTCAATCTTTGTCTCCGTCTCTTTGATCTTGAGCTCCTGGCCCACAGCTTCCTCCCTAATACGGCCCTTCTCTAAGTTAAGGTCGAGGCGCACGCTGGCTTGTGTGCGGCTGATCTCGTCGCGCAGTCGACTGCTGAGCTTGGCAATGTCGTTCGTCAATCGCTCGTGAGCTGTGCGCGTCGTGTTGGATTCGGTAGAATCGGCGGACAGAAGCTCGGAACGCAGCTTGGCAAAGTCGACCTTTTGAGTGTACGTTGCTTTTGCCGCATCTTCGCGTAGTACCATTGTTCGGGTGAGATTTTGGATACTGTATGGTCAGTTAGTATGGACATAGTATATGATTAAAAAATAGAGCGTACCTCTCTTCAATAACATCGTTCAGCACCTTCATCATCGCAGCCGACTGCTCTTCAGTGAACCCTTCACCCTGTAATCGCTTAACAAACTTGAGCGTATCGAAGTGGTGATCTCGTTGTCTGATGGTTGTCGCATGGAACGCTCGCTTTACAATAGGACTGTCGGCTTGAGGAGAGCGACGTCTAGGAACAGGACCAGCCTGGATTGATGCGAATGACCTCCTTTGATCGCTAGAAGGGATAGAGACAAATGGCCGTGTCGCCCGTGATACGGAGAGCGGAGCGCCCCAGCTAAGACGAGGAAGAAGGAATCGAGGCAGCATCTCAGCTGCTGCGACAGATGGAACGGCCATGTTAATATTTGCCGGGGTTGGCTATGGTTATCGGGAGCTGCGATGTCGGCGATGAAGATGGAGTTGAGAAGAAATCTACAAGGTAAAGTGACCCGAGATACGCTTGTGACGTTAATTGACAAGAGCGGGAAACACCGGCTTTGATTGGCCTCTAAAGCTAAGGTATGTCCAGCCAATTAAGGGGCGAGCTGGCAGATTTCACGACCAATTAAGGGAAGGCGGATTTGGCTTGTATAACCCTGAGATCTGAGACCAGGAAAGCAAACGACAAAAGATATTGTTGTCCCCTATTCTTTAGATAAAATTAATGCCGTTCGAAAGATCGTCTTGAATTCAATCCAAGATAAAATATTCCTCCTTCGAGTCACATCGCCTGTTCGCCTTCTTTGAACGTCCTAGAGTTTGCAAGGGCTAACCATGCTTGTGTATAATGGGTTGCGTCGGTAGAAGTGACCACCATACAGAGCCCAACTCCCAGGTATGTACTGGGTAGGTAGGTACTGCTAGGAAAATCTCCGGCGTGTACTCCGTAGAGCTGGCTAGACTCCGGTGGGAGCTGGTTATGAAAACAGAAGCATTCACGTCACATATTTGGAAATTATCTCAGGGCCATTATGATTGATAGTGCGTCATGATTTAGCTAAATCTCTCCGAATCAATGGCTTCATCCACTGCACTTCGGGTCATCATAGAATTGCGAGTGCTTGGATCTAGTAATACGGATTTAATCGAATTCCGAACTCCGTTATCTTAACCCCCCGGCATTCCCTAACTCCGGTTTCCTTCAATTCCCATACCAAAGCCCTTCAAAACTGTTTCTCGAATTCCTATCAGCCCTACTGCGCAACCGGAATTTGTTCATCACTTCTTTGTTTGTCTGTTTGGTTACGTACATACGTATAGTCTCTTGGCTCGGCAGTTACACAACCTTGGAGCCATGGCACCGCCCGAACTGCCAGGCTCTGCAACCTCTAGTACGACAGGGACTCCCGCTGGCTATGGAAGAGCTTGCACTGCATGCCAAAGAGCTAAATGCAAGTGTATCTTGAGAGCTTCTGGCCAGGATTGTGAAAGATGCCACCGTCTTGGCAAACCATGTCAGCCAATGGCAACCTCGCGAAAACGAGTTGCGAAAAAGTCAACGTCTTCTAGAACCGCTCAGCTTGAAGAGAAACTTGAAGACCTTGTCACTATTCTACGCGCTTCTCAGCCATCAAATGGACATTTGCACTCCACAGGTCCTGGTGACTCAAGCCCCTTGATGAACTCCTCCAACATGGGTCACCTCACTAGCCGGTTAGAATCACTAGCCACTGCTGCTGCTTCTTCTTCCTCCTCCTCAGAAAGTTATCCTCGTCCGTATACTGTACCTCATAATCATGATTCAAGAAGCACAGCCAATACCCAGCCCAATACCTCCCCATCCAGCATTGGTGAAGATCCCTCCACCTCTTTTGATCCCACCCCAGAAGAGGCTGAATTGTATCTGGCAAAATTCCAACAATGGCTTAAGAACTTCCCTTGCATGGTTCTACCACAAGATATTACAGCCGCGGCTCTCCGGAAGGAGAAGCCATTTTTGTGGTTATGTATTATGAACATCACCTCCATGTGTGTTGAGCAGCAGATGAAGATGAAAGATCAAGTGCGCCGAGAAATCGCCACTAGAATTATCATAAACCATGAGAGATCTATGGACTGCCTTCAGGGACTCATATGTTATATTTCATGGTCAGTTAAGCACCAATGTCCTCGTCGTAGCATGTTCTGACACTAGCTATCTAGGGCTGCCACCACTTCAAGTCCAGGCAGGCCGTTTATCATCACATTTTGCCAAATGGCTGTCTTGCTTGCATATGACCTTGGTCTCACCAAAGCTCCTATTGAAGAACAATACTTCACAGTATGTTTCAAGATGGGGGGAGGACGTCCCCCTTCACCTCGGGTACGCACTCAAGAAGAAAGACGAGCTGTCGTGTCACTGTGGTTTTTGACTTCAGTGTAAGTGTCATTCTCTCACACCATAACTCAGACTATAAATCTCATTGACCTGTATAGCATGTCATCATTTGTCGGCAAGATGGATCCTCTCCAATGGACACCACATATGAGTGATTGCCTGGAAGCTCTTGAAAGAGACAAACTATGGCTATCTGACGAGCTTCTGGTCGCATTTGTCAGGTATCAGCTAGTTGCAGACGAGGCACAGAAACTGCTCGTTCGAGATGTCATGGGCGAGTCATCTTCAGCGCCCACGTATGTTTTCAGAAAGAGCTTACTTGCCAAACTCCAAGCAGTCCGAGACGGATTGCCAGCGAATATGCCTATAACCCGTAAGTCTGACATGCATTTTTAGCGAAAGACATACTGACAGGTTCCAGCGGTTTTACAAGCACATTCGCTCGCGACAGAGGTTCAAATCAACTCCGTCGGACTCTTTATGCAAAACATCCCAGTCAATCAGCGAATTGAAAGCATGTATTCTTGCCTTCAAACAATAAGATCATGGTACGACGTTTTCTTTGGCATACCTCCAGAAGATGTTCCAGGGGCACCCTTTGCTATCTATATCCAGCTGTCTCAAGTTCAGGTTGCCCTCTATCGACTTACTACGTCTGAGGATCCTGCTTGGGACAAGGAGTTTGTCCGAAATACAGCAGACTTACTTATACTACTGGACCAAGTCGTTGAATTCTTCGCACGGCTGGATTCTGTCTACAAGATGAAAACAAGTCAAGGTGAAGAAACGGTGTTTGCTATGGGGGCTAAGATGATGAACAACATTCGAATTTCGTGGGAACCTACACTATCACGGCACCTCAGAAATGCATCTTCGATACCGACAAATCAAGGAGCAGGTCCGCCGGTGCCAACGCCTCCTCCACCTTCAGCGGCTCAGGCATCCATGGACATGGCGAACATGAATATGATTGATTTTGGTGATGTAACTTGGATGGGCGACGTTTTTGGGCCATGGGAGTTGTAGTATCTTAACGCATGGATATCGGGAAATAATATTGTACCGAATCCTTCTGGGGGGGAAAGCACCAAGAAAAGCATATGGTCCAATTAGTTCTGCGAGCTCAATAGTTGAGCGGAATTCCGTTCCAGAAGTGATACCCAACTCCGTTGGCACCACATTCAGCCTTAACACCACAACAAATGAACCCTGGGCTAGAAAGTACACTACGAATTCTTTAGAAGAGACAGTGCTTATGTCTTATATGGCTGTTTCATCAAATTGTTTAAGAATGCGGTATCCCCAAGATGCCAGGGAACTTTTTGAAAGCCTCAAGGCTCAACCACTCACTCTACTCCTTTTGTCTGAAGGTCTATATTTGAACGTGAGAATATGACTACACCGACGTCGAAGACGGAGCGTAGCGAGCCGCACCCAATCAGCGGCGATGATGAAAAGACTGAATCACGTTCAAATACACCGACCTTGAACGAACCCGCTCAAGACGAGAAGCTGGAGAAATCAGAAGATGGCGATGGCGAACTCACAACTGAGGAGGAGGAAACTGAATGGATATCGGGATGGAAGCTCGCAAGCATGATGACATCCCTTACGCTCGCTGCATTCTTGATGCTGCTAGATATGTCCATCATCTCAACGGTACCTACTTTGCATATTCAGTCCTTGGTGTTTCCACTCAATACTAAGTATATTCAGGCTGTTCCGCGCATAACTTCGGACTTTCATTCTTTACCGGACATAGGATGGTATGCCAGTGCATACAATCTTGCTAGGTAGGGTCAGCGCTAGGTTAAATCCTCCTACATTTGCTGACCATGAAATGTCACAGTGCTGCCCTACAACCACTTACCGGCAAAATATACATGTACTTCAACACAAGAGTAAGTAAGCTCCAGCCCGACCTATAGTACAGAGTCTCACATACTGCCTGCAGTGGACTTTCTTAGCGCTGTTCTTCGTGTTCGAAGTTGGCAGTCTTATTTGCGGCGTAGCCCAGTCATCTGCCATGTTGATCATCGGTCGAGCCGTCGCTGGAATAGGCTCTTCTGGTATTCAGAATGGTGCTCTTACTATGATTGCGAAGGCGGTTCCTATTCATAGACGTCCGTCTCTTGTTGGTGTTATCATGGGGTTTGCTCAGCTAGGACTCATCAGTGGGCCTTTGATAGGAGGCGCTTTTACTCAGTATACCACTTGGCGATGGTGTAAGTCATGTTCATCCTTTATCAAGGCTTTACGAATCCTGACTATTCATACAGGTTTTTATATCAACCTTCCCATCGGCGCCATCTGTGCGGTTCTGATTCTATTCGTCCATATGCCTGATCACCGAGCCAGTAGAGACGAAAGCGCCATGCAGATTCTGAAAACGAAACTCGACTTCACTGGCTTCGTTTTGTTCTGCCCTAGCATAGTGATGTTGCTACTGGCTCTTCAATGGGGTGGTCTTGAGTATCCCTGGGACTCTGCAACTGTCATTGGGCTCTTCTGTGGCGGCGGTGTTCTTTTCATTATCTTCATATACTGGGAGCATCGCGTTGGTTCAGAGGCCATGATTCCTCTTCCAATTGTGCGCACAAGAGAAGTCTGGGCTTCGTGTCTGTCACAGTCATTTCTCTTTTCCACGGTGATGGTGGCATCGTACTATTTTCCTGTCTATTTCCAATCGGCTAAAAATGCTTCACCTTTCACCAGTGGTGTCAATCTTCTTCCCAGCATTCTCAGCGTTATCTTCGCAGCCGTCGCGAGTGGCGCTCTTGGTAAGTCATCTTGGTATGGAACCTCAAGTCCTTCAGCTAACAGACGACAGCTCAAAGGGTTGGCTACTATCTTCCATTTGCCACAGCCAGCGGCGTCCTCTCCTCTATCGGCTTCGGTCTGGCCTCTTCCATGGGCCCCTACGCTTCCACAGCTACATGGGCCGGTTATCAGATCTTGATAGGTCTTGGCCGTGGTCTCGGTCTACAGATGCCCATTATAGCCATCCAGGCGAACACAAATGCTGATGTTACGCCTATAGCCATGGCAATCTTGACTTTCTCGCAGACTTTTGGCAGTGCGATTTTTATCACGGCTGCCAATGTCATTTTCACTCATGAGCTTCGTGATGAGCTTGTTGCAAGACTTCCCGATATCAACGCTGACATGATCATCGATGCCGGTGCTGGAGCAGTTAGTGAAGTTGTATCTGGAGCGGATTTACCGCAGGTGTTGTGGTCGTACTCCAAAGGTGTACGTGCGACGTTTCTGCTTGCTGTAGGCACGTCTTGTGCCATGGTTCTTTCATCTTTTGGAATGGGATGGAAAGATATCAGAAAGAAGCCCGCCCCTTCCCCTGTCCCTGATGAAGCTTGAAGGAAAAATAGCAAAGGGTTTGAGGTTCAAGCACAAGGTGAAATTTGAATATACGTAGGGTTACTCGTTTGGGGGCAATGAGTGAACAGCGCAGCATAGGTCATCTAAAAAGAGGCAACAAATAGTATGATAATCTCAGCTTAATTGTATCATTATAGTTTAATCAATCCTCTTTTCTCATTGTAATATAATTTCGAATGTCGATTGTATTTGTGTTTGCAAGTGATATATGCATTTGCTGTGTCACGATTTGCTGCAGGGTAATTTTTTTTCATTGGAGAAACACTGAATACCTTATTTGTTACTCATGCATCGTCAAATCAGCTTTAGCCTCACCAAGACTGCCATCCTTACGTCCTTGGTGTATTTGCCATCTCATTTTTTGGTAGCAAAACAAGCCACTTTTGTATCATTCAAGGGCTCGGCATCATTCTTTGCAACGATGAACCGGCCGAACCGGCCTCGAAATCGGCAACCTCGCCCCCCACGTCAACAGCAGAATAACCAACGAGGTGACTCATCACGGCCATCTCGCGCACCTGCAACACCACAGCAAGCATCAGGCACAGTCCCAACAGTACAACAAGTCATCCCTGGAGCTTCAGTATTTATCATTCTGAAAGAAGACCAGCCCACAGGAGAGGAGACAAAAGGAATAGTGCAGGATATACTCACGCGGGGCAATCATCCACGAGGTATCAAAGTGCGACTACAGGATGGCCAGGTGGGCCGAGTACAGAGAATGGGCAACACAGCTGCAGCTGTAGCGACGGCAGATGCTGGAGGTCAGACGCAGTCAACAAGATTTACTATGCGATACACAGATGTGAGGCAAGACGATGAGTTTGCTACTGGGCCTCCACCAAGGAGTTTGGCGGATTTCATACCGGATTTTGATGAGGCTTTGGGGAGTTCTGCGAGTGCTGCTGGCGTTGAGACGGTCAAGTGTCCGTTTTGCGAAGGGTTTGAAGGAGATGAGGCGGCTGTTACACATCATATTGATCGGGAACATCTATCGTAGTTGGATGTTGAAGTTTGGTTTGCTTATTATGTTTGAGCTTGGGCGAATAAAGTCTGAAATGGTGTCTGGATATAAATTGGCACATATCAAACGGATGAGGATATGGTTTGCCTGTGTAAGTGGTTGTGCACCTTGGAAATAGTTTCTCGAGATTCTAATAAGCCATATGAACAGTGCCGCCTCGGGGAGCAAGAAAACACCGGACCTTGATCTAGGGTGCTAAAATAAACTTATCAAAGATCCCCTAAACTTGGGCTAAATTTACCTAAATATTTTTATCGCTTAGGGTCAAGGTTTTGTGTTTTCTTTCCTTCCCTAGCAGGGGTATGGTGTACTGAATATGACTCCGATTATTCTCGGGTTTGTTCTTCCTCGTTTATTTCCACGAACCTTTGGATAAGTTTACAGGCGTCCCTGTCAGATCTGTTGGCACATGCATCATGCTGCAATTGAACTCAAACTGTTGTGCTACAAGCTACAGCCAGTCTCTAGACTAGAATAAATTTAACCACAAATTTGACGAAAATCAAATTGAGCCTCGCTTTCAGCCAGCGATCATCATTCTAGCAAGATATCGTCCTTTACTTTAGTTGAAAGGCTTCATACTGAATCATTATAATTCCAAATGATAGATACAGGGTAATCTGGACTTTGAAGCTCCCCCTTTTCCTTGAACGATTGGCGCCTGTTTGTTGATGACGAAAGCCTGCTTGACTCAATCTCGGCCGGCTCGGAAAATCAAGGCGCCATGCGACTAATTATTGGCTCCTGAAATAGGCTGTCAGCATTGGCACCCCGAGCCAGTGTGAGCCAGTGCACGCTAGCTCTCCAGGCACGCGAATTTCAGTGGAGGTACGTACCTTCTGCTCTGGTGCAGTGCTGCACCTCCACTCTCCACTTCGATGCAGCTGTACCTGTGGCTCCTTCCTTCCAAACCAAACAGAACAGGTAACGTAACCCAAAGTGACCTGGACCTAACCTAACCTTCTTCCTGCTCTCTCCTTTAACCAAAACACCTTCGACACCCATTCCTGATCCTCCCTCTCGACGACTTATTCGCCTGCGCCCATCAGTGGAATTCGCATCTCCACGTCGTCGCTTTTGTTTTCTTTTTCTTCGATTCCTCGCGCTTTCTCTATTTCGAAATCTCGTCTCCAGCCACGCGGCGTATGGAAGCTCAAACTGCGCCAACCATAGGCAGCCCCAGCATAATTACTGACGATCGATCCGAGATCGATACCAATTCTTCTTCCCAGTCTTTCGACCGAACTCGAGCTTAGGAGCGTCGATTTGAGAAAGGTCCTTTTTACCTCATCATAGGCCACACCGGCGCCATGCCGACTCTGCCCATCAAGTTTCAGGAGCTTGTCCAGCTCGCCAATGTTGGCGTGGACACGCAGAGCATTGGCTTCAACTCCTGCGTATGTCCCACAAAATGCCACCAGCTACTTGGTCGCGATAAACAATGTCATGAGCTAACTAGAAGCTAGACACTCGAGTCCGACTCCTACGTATGTGTGCGAGAGAAGAAGAACGAAGCTGCCCAACCTGAGGTTGTTATTATTGAGCTCAAGAATGGCAACAACGTAACCCGTCGGCCGATCAAGGCCGACAGTGCCATCATGCACTGGAACAGACAGGTTATTGCTCTCAAGGCTCAGTCTAGAACGCTGCAGATCTTCGACCTCGAGCAAAAGAAGAAGCTCAAGTCCTGCACCATGAACGAGGATGTGCAGTTCTGGAAGTGGATCAGTGAGAACGAGCTTGGTCTTGTCACAACAACCAGTGTCTTCCACTGGAATGTCTACGATGCGGGTCAAGATGCCCCCGTCAAGGTCTTCCAGCGCAATGATAACCTCCAAGTGAGCCGCTTTCATCCGCTACTAAAATGGGATTATAGTGCTAACGGCGTTTCAGGGCTGCCAGATCATCAACTACCGAGTTAACGGCGATGGCAAGTGGATGGTAGTCGTTGGCATTTCATCCCAGCAGGGCCGTGTGGTTGGTGCCATGCAGCTCTACTCTAAAGATCGTGGAATCAGCCAGGCCATAGAAGGTCATGCCGCCGCCTTCGGTACCCTTCGCCTGGAAGGTGCTCCCCAAGACACCAAGTTCTTCAGTTTCGCTGTACGAACGGCAACCGGCGCCAAGCTTCACATCGTCGAGGTCGACCATCCCGAGTCGAATCCGGTTTTCCAGAAGAAGGCTGTCGACATGTTCTTCCCCCCCGAAGCAACCAACGATTTCCCCGTCGCTCTCCAGGTCTCTCAGAAGTACGGCGTCATCTACATGGTGACCAAGTACGGCTTTATCCACCTCTATGATCTCGAGACTGCCTCGTGCATATACATGAACCGAATTTCTAGCGAGACGATTTTCACAACATGCACAGACGACGGCTCCTCTGGTATTGTTGGCATCAACCGAAAGGGTCAAGTTCTTTTCGTGACCATCGACGACAACAACATCATCCCATACCTTCTTCAGAACCCCGCCAACTCAGAGATGGCTATCAAGATGGCCTCAAGAGCTGGACTACCCGGTGCTGATAACCTTTATGCCCGCCAATTCGAGCAGTTGTTCAACGCCGGAAGTTATCTGGAGGCTGCTAAGGTTGCCGCCAACTCCCCGCGAGGCTTCTTGCGAAGCGCCGAGACTATTGAGAAGTTCAAGCGCCTTCCTGTTCAACCTGGTCAGATGGCTTTCACACTTCAATACTTCGGTATGCTCTTGGACAAGGGCGCCTTGAACCGCGAGGAGACCCTTGAGCTTGCACAGCCTGTCCTCCAGCAGAACCGCAAGCATTTGCTCGAGAAGTGGTTGAAGGAGGGCAAGTTGGACTGCTCTGAGGCGCTCGGAGACTTGGTCCGTCCTTACGATATGAACATGGCCCTTACCATCTACCTCAAGGCGGAGGTCCCCGCAAAGGTCGTTGCTGGTTTTGCTGAGACAGGCCAGTTTGATAAGATTCTCCCGTACTCGGCTCAGACCGGCTATCAGCCTGATTACATCCAACTTCTTCAGCACATCATTCGTATCAACCCTGAGAAGGGTGCCGAGTTTGCCAGTGCTTTGGCTAATAACGAGCAGGGCTCCTTGGTTGATTTGGAGCGTGTTTGCGACATCTTCCAAGGGCAGGGTATGATCCAACAAGCCACTGCCTTCCTCCTGGATGCGCTGAAGGAGAACAAGCCTGAGCATGCCCGCCTTCAGACCCGACTACTCGAGATGAACCTCATGCATGCTCCTCAAGTTGCTGAGGCTATTCTGGGCAATGAGATGTTCACTCACTTCGATAAGTCTCGCATTGCCCAACTTTGCGAGCAGGCCAACCTTCCTCAGAAGGCTTTGGAGCTCTATGAGGACCCTGAAGCCATTAAGCGCGTCATTGTCAACATTCCTGGCTCTCCCAACTTCAACCCCGATTGGCTTACTACCTTCTTCGGCAAGCTCTCTGTTGAGCAATCCCTTGATTGTCTAGATGCCATGATGAAGACGAACATTCGACAGAACCTGCAGTCAGTGGTTACTATCGCCACCAAGTACTCCGACCTCCTGGGAGCCGTTCGCCTGATTGATCTCTTTGAGAAGTACAAGACTGCAGAGGGTCTGTTCTACTACCTCGGTAGCATTGTGAACCTGTCTGAGGACCCTGACGTGCATTTCAAGTACATTGAGGCTGCTACCAAGATGGGCCAATTTAACGAAGTTGAGCGACTGTGCCGCGATAGTAACGTGTATAACCCAGAGAAGGTCAAGAACTTCCTTAAGGAAGCCAAGCTGCCCGAGCAGCTTCCTCTGATCATCGTCTGCGATCGTTTCAACTTCGTTCACGACTTGATTCTGTACCTGTACCAGAACCAGCAATTTTCTGCTATTGAGACCTACGTCCAGTCTGTGAACCCTACACGAGCTCCCGAAGTCATCGGAGGCCTTTTGGATGTCGATTGCGACGAGAATGTCATTAAGCAGTTGCTGCAGACCGTTAACGCACAGGCTATCAGCATTGATTCGCTTGTCTCTGAGGTTGAGTCTCGAAACCGACTCAAGCTTCTCTTGCCCTTCCTCGAGAAGACCCTTAACGAGGGTAACCAGCAGCAAGCTGTTTTCAATGCTCTTGCCAAAATTTATATTGATTCCAACAACAACCCAGAGAAGTTCTTGAAGGAAAACGATCAATACGATACTTTGACAGTCGGAAAGTACTGTGAGAAGCGTGATCCCAACCTAGCCTACATTGCCTACTCCAAGGGACAGAACGACCTGGAGCTCGTCAGCATTACAAACGAGAACTCCATGTACAGAGCCCAGGCGCGATATCTCTTGGAGCGATCTGACAATGAGTTGTGGGGCTTCGTGCTGAGTGAGAACAACATTCACCGACGATCTGTCGTCGACCAAGTCACCGCGACCGCGGTTCCCGAGGCCAATGACCCTGCAAAGGTCTCCGTGGCCGTTGCTGCTTTCCTTGAGAATGATCTCCCTCTCGAGCTTATTGAACTTCTTGAGAAGATTGTTCTCGAGCCTTCACCTTTCAGCGATAACCAGAATCTTCAGAACTTGCTTATGTTCACTGCTGCCAAGGCTGATAAGGGACGTGTCATGGATTACATTCACAAGCTCGACAACTACAACGCCGATGAAATCGCCACTGCCTGCATTGAGGTTGGCCTCTTTGAGGAAGCCTTCGAGATCTACAAGAAGGCTGATAACAAGTCTGCCGCTGTTGACGTCCTGATCGAGAACATCGTCAGCATCGACCGTGCCCAGGGTTATGCCGAAGAGGTTGACCTGCCCGAGGTCTGGAGCAAGGTTGCCAAGGCTCAGCTTGATGGTCTCCGTGTTTCTGATGCTATCGAGTCCTACATTAAGGCTGAGGACCCTCGCAACTACCTGGAGGTCATTGAAGTTGCCACCCACGCCGGCAAGAACGAGGACCTTGTCAAGTACTTGCGCATGTGTCGCAAGACCCTCCGTGAGCCTGCCATCGACACTGCTCT